CTATGGCCCCAGGTGTGCCGGGCACCCTCCAGGACTTGAGTAAATAAACCTTGTGTTTTTTGTTGTTGTTTTTTTAAGTTCCCCCATGGTTGTTGTTGAGGTACAATTTGCAGTCATACAGAAGCCCCAGGGCAGGTCCAGCTGCCGCACTGGTTGGGGAAATGTCTATGAGGGTTTGCCACAAGTAGAAAGGGTGCAGGCATTCCGAGCTGATAGCATCACTCTCAGTCGGCTGAGACTAACAGAAAACAACTATGTTATAATAGCTCATACCGTTATTTTATGTGTGTGACCTCTTATAGTTTGTGGCATAGTTAGACACTTACAAGACACACTTTGCACTAGAAGAGAATATTTCCTTCTTTCCACTCCAGCCTTCTGTCCATCTGTCCTCACTGCATATTTTATACGCATACAAATCAGTATGATTCAAATATCCCTAAAAAAGACAGCCAATCTTCAAAGAGGTTAATAAGACATGACCTATTGCATGAAAAGGGCAGGGGGAGGGGAAGGTGGTTCAAAAACAACCAAAATGTCAACATGGTTTGAAAGAACCCGGTTAGCAGTACAGATATAAAGATGCTACACTTGCGATAAGCTTGATTAACAAAACAATGAAGGCAATTAGAAAAGTTTTAATAAAACATTCTGATGTTGAAAGCTTATCTTTGATGAGTTGGAAAAGCAAAGAAAAATAATCCTGAACCATTTCCCAGTTTAGAAAGATTTTGTTTATCCTTCTTTGCTAGAGTTGGAGCCAACAATTCTGATGGCTTGGATTAGCTCTCAATATTTCTAGCTATTGGAGTATTCAAATCACTGGTGCATTTTTGGCAATAAGCTGTGTCTCCACAGACAACAGCAACAAGGAAACGAATCTTCTCCACACACAAGTCACAAGATTTCTCTCTCCTTTTACCACTTTGACCAGTGGCCTTTAGTCAGAAATAGGCAAAGGGAAGTCGTAAGCCCAGGACACCAACACACCAAGGAGATCTGTGTAATACCCTTTGGTCCTCCTCAGTTTCCACGCTCTCCAATGTGCTCAGCTGTCCACTAAGTTTTCCAGGCTCCCAGCCAATTAACCTTTCCTGTTAAACATCTCAGTCACATTAAAAAAAAAAAAAAAAAAACAGAACTATGGTATTGAACCTGGGGCCTTGTAGCAATACTAGGGGGAGAGGCAAAGTTAGTGTGGATAAGAGGCTCATGAAGTTTTTACGGCTTGTCAGAGATGAAAAGAGTCTTTTTATCTAGGAAATTATTTTAGTCTCGAAACAAAGCTCATGTGTTCATTTATTCATTCACTTTGTAAATTCATTCACACTACAAACAGTGAATGAAAGTAATCAGAGTTTCAGAATCAGATGAACCTGGATTCAATGCCTGACTTTGACAATGCTTTGCCTGAACCTGTTTCCTCACCTGTAAAAATTAAATAATAATACTCTATTTGAGGGTTTTTCTAAGGATTTGAAATAATGTATATACAATTACTGGTGCATGATAATTTCTTAATAAATGAGAGCTATAATTATTACTATTATATTATTATTAATATTATCTCTATCAAGTAACACAAGCCCCCAACTCAATCCTCCATATTTACCTAAGGATGGTTCTTCTTAGCCAGCTTCTTTAGCCTGACAGAGAAAAATTCCCATTCCTACTAGCTTTTTATTGCCTCATTTCAACGATGGGAGATCTCACCCCCTGACAAAGACTTCTTCTTGACCAAAGTTTAGTCAGGCTCCTCTGAGCCCGCTTCTTGACTTGACTTTGCCTTTGGCTTTGGCCTACTCCCTTGACCTTGGCCGGCTGAGTCCAGTCTTGCATCCCTTGCCGTTGATAGCTGGGCACATTGGCCCACTTTAGCAAGGGTCCCCCTACCCTTAATGGCTAATCAAGTTCCTCTTAATAACTTTCCATCCACAGACCCCCTCACTCTGCTCATTAGCTATAAATCCTCAATTATTTTTGCTATAGTTGGAATTGAGTTTCCTCTCCCCTACTGCAAAAGTCTCAAATGAAGTCTTCCTTAACATTTTAACAAGTGTCAGAATAATTTTTCTTTTACACCCTTTATATCCACATATCTATTTCTGACTGAATGGTGGTGTCATTACCCATAAGGACAGAAAATGGAACTTCGTCTCCCATAGAGTAAGGATATGTCACCCAGGGAACGCCGTTGATCCCCTGAAGCCCAGCCACCGCTAATCTACATGCCGCATTGGACATAAACCCCATCCTCTGAAGCGGAACCACAGGGCTGGCCCCACTCAAACGCTTGAAGGAAGTGCAACTGGCCGTCCAGGCCAGACCTCCTCCACAGGTCGAGCCCCTGTCATCCAGAAAAGCTCACAGCTGCTCCTTCATAGTAGTCTCTGTCCCTGGGGCTGCCTGCCCTTGGGGCACCTGGATGGCCCGCTGGGTTGAGCATCTGAATCTTGATTTTGGCTCAGGTTATGATCCCAGGGTCCTGGCATCAAGCCCCGTGTCAGACTCCAAGCTCAGTGTGGTGTCCGCTTGTCCCTCTCCCTGAGGCCCTCCCCCTCCTTGTGCACACTCTTTCTCTCTCTCAGATAAATAAAATCTTTATATAAAAAAAAAAGAGGGGCGCCTGGGTGGCTCAGTTGGTTAGGCGACTGCCTTCGGCTCAGGTCATGATCCTGGAGTCCCGGGATCGAGTCCCGCA